CCACAACCCTGGGAGCTGGAGGAGGGTTGAGAATTACCTGCTGAGCTGTGCCTCACTGGTTAAATAACAGCATTCTAAACCTTTTTTTTATCTCAAGCACCAACCTATGTGACACCTCTAAGTCACAGCAGAAAGAAAGAAGAGCAATGCAGCTGAGAGCCAAGGAGCCGGGCCTGGCTGAACATCAGGCCCATCGCCCCTTGGCTGGTGCCAACCTGCACACCGTCTCCAGGGCCCTGTAGGCAGAATGAGGGAGGTGGAGAATCAGCCTTTCCAAGTCCTTGGGTCAGGAAGAGACTGAATATGTGGACGGAAAATGAGGCTCAGAAAAGAAAAACCTCTTTGCGTGCATATTATCTGCAATAAATCAAAACAAATATGCAAGCATCTCCCTGAAACTACTGGGAAGAAAAGGGAACACTATTTTTTTTTTTTAGTAACATACTCGCTACTACTAATTTAAAATGTGCAAAATGCCAATCGGGTTGCCTTTTTATAGACATCAGTTTTAGGATTAATGTAATAATAAAAAGGCTTTTCATATATTTTCCCCACTCAGAATCTTATTTTTCCACAAGATCTCACACTCTGCAAAAGCAAATTTTCCTGTCTCCCCACCAAAACCTTGTCATAGTTCGTTCGGCCTGGTGAAAAGTATTTCCAGGCCCCTCAACTGGGGTGGATGAGCTAAAAGCCTTGATTTACATGGGATTCTGTTGACATGTGACATTTTCTGCACCACTAGCCCCCGTCATGCAGTATCTCCCACCCACCCGTCTGCTCCTCAGCCCTTGGATGGCAGAAAGTGCTATGTTCCTGGTGTTCAATTAAGCATTTGATGAACCAAACCAAACTGAACGGGAAGGTTGCCTGAAATAAAGTCTTCCTGAGGCAGAAGGATGGAGGGGAGCCTTGGAGGATGGGCAGAGGTCTCCATACTGCAGGCCGTGGGGAGCTACCAAAGGGAGTAGTTGTCGTGGCTTGGAAGGTTCACTCTGGAAGCAGAAAAAGGTGGGCATGTTTGGGGGGAAAGTGATGGGTTAAGTTAAAAAAAAAAGGAGGCAAAAAAAGCAATAAGGAATCCAGTTAGCACTAATTCAGGCAAGAGATGAAGAAGGTCTGAGCAGGAGGAGCAGGAGTAGGATGGAGAAAGAGAAAGGGACAAGAAGAAGCAGAATCAGAAGCAGAACCATTTGGATGATGTTGCATGGGGTGTGTTTGGCTGAGCCTGAGTTCCTCCACAACCGCCCCACCACCTGCAAAGGCAGAATCCAAGACAGAGTGTGTGTGTGTAAGTAGGAGATTGGGCAAGGACCCCAGGGAGCGGAGAGAGGAGTCGGAACAATAGAGCAAGAAAGAACAAAGCAATACCAGGATGAGGAACTTGATTAGTGACTCTATATCTCTAAGACCTTTGAGCAGCCATTCCATCCCACACTGGCTCAGGGTGTTCCCGTGGGTGTCCACTGCCCAGCAGACCCCTGGTTCCTCAGGTGTCCCGTGTCACCTCAGAGAAGTGAGAGGTGCTGAGCTCAGCTCTATGTTTTACTCTTTTTAATAGCAACTTTTTCCTGATTTTTGAATAAGGGGGCCTTCATTTTCATTTTGCACAAATTGTGTAGCCTGTCCTGACTCCTACAAGGGAGGCAAACTCCAACACAGGTCCTACCTGATGATAGTCAAGGTGTTAACGTGTCATGATCTTATTTGGAGGACGGGTGGTGTGTGTGTGTGTGTGTGTGTGTGTGTGTTTCCAGTTTGCATTAGACCCTGTGGTGGGAACAGGCCCAGGGTTTGGAGCTCAGGTGTGCTATTACTGCCATCTTGTGTTCAACTCGTGCACAACACAGAGCTCTGGAGGAGACTCCCAGGCAGGGGCACTGGGGCTGCTAGCAGAAGTAGGTGCAAAGACCACCCACACTCCATGGCCAATACATCAAGAATGTTTCTATTCAGCTGGTGGTGTTCCATGAAGACAGACTATCCATACACACCATTTCAGAGCCTGTGTGTGTGTGTGAGTACGCGTGTGTATCTGTGCCTTTCTACCAGCACGTTCTTTCCCTTCACACTCACCTTCCTCTTGTTTGTAGTTCCTCTCATAGCTGAGAGCCCCTCCCCACACTGAGAGCCCCTCAAGTCTGTTTCTTTTGTTATTTCTCCAGCTCTCCCTTGTGGGGGCCTGGCCCTGAAGGCCCCTCCTGGACAGCTGATTGGGAAGCAGGGGCCAAGCCAGGAGGGAAGTCAGGTCCTGAGTCAGCCTGGGCAGGACAAGGACTCTAAGGACAGACACTCACCAAGTAAGTATTTTACCATGTGACTCTGAAGTTTAAAAACATATTTATCTATATTTTCCTCTTTGTAAGGTTTGTTAGCATGTAACTCTTTTATCTATCTAAATACTAGTATATTTTGATAAATGGTAAGAGGTAAAAATACAATTGAAACATTTTTCCCCAAAATCTTTAAATTCTTGTTCCAGTACCACTTGTTGAATGATTTTTATGCTTCCTTTCATATATAACCAAAGGTTTTTTTTCTGGCCTATCTATTCTAGTTAATTTACCTGTCTGTGGATTTTGGCACCAGTACCAAAGTAGTGTGGTCATGCTTTATAACATATGGCTTTTTAATATCTGGTAGGGCAAAACTATTAAGTTATTTTTCTTTTTCAAAAATTTCATAGCTTTCTACCTCCCTCCCCTCCCATATATTTCAAAATTATTTTGTTAAGAAAAATTTCATTGGGGTAGTGATTGAATTGGCACAAAATCTATACACTAACCAACTGATACGTTTTATAAGGAAGGATTCCATGAGAGTTGGGCCTGTGTCCCTGAGCTGTCATTTCTCCAGAGGACAGTGTGGAGTAGGGATTAACAGTGTGGACTGTGGCCTAGGACTAGCTCTGTGAACTTGGCAAGTCTAACCTCACTTTCACAATCTATACAATTGTTTTATCATTGTATTAGGCCTAGAATCAACATGGTGACTAGGAACAATCCCTCACAATCAAATCTCAAAACATTTAACTCTTAAATTTTACTCTGTTCACCCCAAAAGTAACTTTTAAGCCTCCAAAGGAAAGACAATATGGAAACAGCAAAGGCACTATAACTGGCAGTGGTGGCTATCTCTACCCATATCTAAGTCTATAGTCTCCAATTGACTCTAATTGAATATAAGCATCAGAAGGTCAGGGATTTTTTTCTGTCACCCCACTTCACACACAGTGGTATATAATAGGCACTTAAAATGAATTTGTTGATTGAATAAATGAATGATGATGGTTCTCCTGATAGTAGAATTCCAGGACAGTAAGCCCAACAGCCTTACCCACACCTGTCAAATAGCCAGGGAGACTTGTAGACTCCTTGGGAGAACTCAAGATAAAGTGAGCCTTCCTTTGGCCTTGCCCAACTTCCCACACATTAATGGAGGAGGGTGCATTGGGGGGTGGGGGGGAGAGAATCATAGGCTGTTTTACAAAACCAACACAATTAATTAAAGAAGACCCTGGAGCCTGGCCAGAGTGGCTCAGTTGATTGAGCATGTCCTGTGCACTGAAGGATTGCCAGTTCAATTCCTGGTCAGAGTACATTCCTGGGCTCAATCCCTGGTCAGGGCGAGTATAGAAGGCAATGATTGGATGTTTCTCCCTCACAACATTTCTCTCTCTCTCTCTCTCTCTCTCTCTCTCTCTCTCTCTCTCCCTCTCTCCCTCTCTCCTTCTCTCCCTCTTTCCCTCTCCCTCTCCCTCTCCCTCTCCCTCTCCCTCTCCAATCTCCCTCTCTCTCTTTCTTTCCATGTCCTCCCAGTGAGGATTATAAAGAAAAGAGACCTGGAGTCTTATCTCACTATTTCTGATCTCTCTACCTTACCAGCCATTAGATTGCTTTAACCTCTTCTCTTACAATGAAAAACAGTCTAATAACATCATAATACTGTTTAAGATACTGTGCACATGTTCATAGTAGCATTATTCACAATAGCCAAAAGGAAGAAGCAAAGCAAGTGTCCATCTACAGATGAATGGATAAACAAAATGTGGTATAGCCATACAATGGAGTATTTATTATTCAGTCATAAGAAGGAGTGAAATATTAACACATGCCATAACATGAATGAATCTCAAAGACATGTTAAGTGAAAGAAGCCAGTTACCAAAGGACAAGTGTATGATTCCATTCTTTAAGCTGCATAGAGGAGTTCAATTCATAGAGACAGAAAGCAGAATGGTGGTTGCCCGAGGCTAGCAGTGCAGGGAAATGGGAAGTTATTGTTTAATGGGTACATAGTTTTGCAATATAAAAAGTTCGGGAGATGTGGTTATGATTGCACAGCCATGTGAATGTACTTAATGCCACTGAATTGTACACTTAAAAATGAATGGGATGACCAGAAAGTTCCCTGTACTACAGACTGAAATCAGCAGTTTTTAAATGGCAAAGTTCCCCTTCCAATACAGAATATGTATATTTGTGTATATATAGACATAAATGGGAGCTATATCATTGCTATCATCAACATGATCATTATCACCATTATAATGGAAAGAGATTTACAACATCTACAGGCGGGATGACAGAGGAGTTGACAATAATTGTAGGTTTCTAGCAAGTAGCCCCCTAAACTGAATGGAGGATATGTGAGCAGGAGCAGGTGAGACGGAGGACTTAGGGGAAGAGACTTTGGTGATCATGAATGGTAGGTGGGGGCAGGGACTGAAGGAAAGGACTTGGGTAGGAACGAAGGCTGCTTAAGAGAATAGGTAATAAAGCAGGAGGAAAGGGAGCATCAGGCTGCCCAATCGATATCAAAGCTACGTTCGTAGGTTTGCAATTTGCCCAAGTATCGTTAATTACCACGGGAACGCACATTCTGTAACTAACCCCTCCATCCCGCAGGGCGCAGACCCGCCCGCAGACACGCCACGCCACGCCCCCTGCGGCCCAGGCCACGCCCCTGCGGCCCAGGCCCCACCCTGCGGGTGTCTCTTATTCGGCAGTGTCAATAAAGTTGCAGCGGTTTGACTTTGCAGCGAACAACATGGCGACCTCCATGCTGGGCTCACTGCTTCGGACCGTCCGGCAGGTCAGGCCCGGGTCCTAATCCCCACCCTTCCCCCTTTCCCCCGAACCCCCAAACCGCGGGCACCCCACTCCTCTGCCACCTGCAGAGCTCGGCGCGGACCCGTCCCAGGGGTCCCCCCTCCTCCGGCTCGATTCAGAGGAGGCCCGAGCTGATGTACGTTCGGCATCCGTCACCGTGAAACTGACTAGCATTGAAAGCTGCAGCCTGACTTGACTTATGAGTGAGTGCAGGTGGACCAGGGAAGGGGTCCGAGGAGCGAGGCCCCAGGGACCCCGCGGTTAAGAGATGAGAGCCGAGCAAAGGAGACTTGAAAGGAGCTCAGCGAGGGAGGAGGAGAGCCGGCAGTGGCTGACCTGGAAGCGGGAGGTGACAATTCCAAGGAGCAGGGAGTAGGCAACTCGGAAGTCACGGTTCAGTTCCCGGTCAGGGCACATGCCCGGGTTGCGTGTTCGGTCCCCAGTATGGGGTGTGCAGGATCAATGATTCTCTCTCATTGTTGATGTTTCTCTCTCTTCCTTCCCCTCTGAAATAAAAAATATATTTAAAAAAAGAAGAAGGGCTGAGAACTGGCTGCCGGGTTAGCATGGTGGAGGTTGGTGGGGTGAAAGCCTTCAAGAGAGAATGGGAAAGAAAGCGGACACGGAGTAGAGACAAGTCTCTGAAGACATTTTGCTGCAAAGTGGGGCAGAAAAATGGGTCAGGAGCTAGGCAGTGATGGCGAACCTATGACACACGTGTCAGAGGTGACACGCGAACTCATTTTTTTGGTTGATTTTTCTTTGTTAAATGGCATTTAAATATATAAAATAAATATCAAAAATATAAGTCTGTGTTTTACTATGGTTGCAAATATAAAAAAACTTCTATATGTGACATGGCACCAGAGTTAAGTTAGGGTTTTTCAAAATGCTGACACGCCAAGCTCAAAAGGTTCGCCATTACTGAGCTAGAGTGATGAGTTAAGAGTGGGTGTTGTGTGTGTGAGTGTTTTTAACATGACAGAAGTAAAAGTATTTTTTGTGGTAAAGGAAGAAATCCTGTAGAGTGGGGGCGGAGGGGGGGGAGATGGAGAGGGGAAAATTGCTGGAGCTGTATGTACCTTGTGTAGGCAAGAGGTGATGGGTCTCATGAGGTACCATTGGTCTTAGGAACATGGACAGTTCATCTTTAGTATCCTTGCTTAATAGAAATATAATGCCAACCACATACGTAATTCAAAATTTTCTAGTAGCACATTAAAAGATTTTTTTAAAGATTAAGTTAATTTTTATTTTTATCCCCCAGTCGTGGGAGAAAAAAGAGCTACAGGGGTAGCTATCAGAAGGAGTCAAGCTTCAGCTAGAGCAAAAATCTGCAGGGGTTGTTAAGAGAAGAAACTGAGGATTTAGATTTTGATGGTTGTAGGTGGAAGAGGGCCCAGTGGGAGAGTTTTAGGAGATGAAGAGGAATTTTAGGAGGTGAAGAGACAGAGGGGCAGGACAGGATGCGTACAGAACAGAACGAAGGCAATCTTAATATATAAAGCACTGGTATAAAATAAGAAAAAACAATATAATAGAAATATGGGCAAAGAACACAAAACATTCACAGAAGAAATAATATAGACCAATACATTTTTAAAGTGTATAGTTTTAAAAGTGTATTACTTTTATAATCAGAAAAAAAGTTATATAAAGAAAGTTTTTTTAAAAAAATAACTATAGGGTGTCCCCAAAACATATATACACACTTTGAATAATTACAAAGGCAGTGTTTATTAAAATACATTTCAATCAAAATTGAGCTATCAGCTTTTAAAGTGTGTTTTTTATGACACCCTGTAGAAACCTGTTAGGAAATGGTACAAAGTTGATTGTAAAGAATTTAAGGGAAAAATGTTTCACCTTCCAACACACATTTTTGGCATTGTATTAACTGCCACTGTTTTGGTTTAATGTACACCCATAAAAGGTATTTATTCTGAATTAAGTCTATTTAAAATTACTACAAAAAATAGTTGATCCTAAGGAGTGACTAAAAGAGGACTGCAGGATGGGGACATGGCAGAGCCTGGGTCTGACTATCCCTCACTTATTCTTTATCTTTTTTAGATGGTTCCTTCATCAGCTTCAGGCCAAGTTCGAGGCTACTATGTAGACTGGAGAATGTTGCGTGATGTGAAGAGAAGGAAAATGGCCTATGAATATGCAGATGAGAGGCTACGGATTAATTCGCTTAGGAAGAATACCATTTTGCCAAAATACCTTCAGGTTAGCTAATTAAGATGAGTCCCTGACCACCTAAGATCATTAACTCAAATCAGACCACTTTTGATACTGTTTGTTGTGACTTACTGTCAAAATAATTTCTGGAGAATATGATCAAATGCTCTCAGTCAACACAAATGAATACCCTCGAAACTGATTTTGGTGAGTTTCAGATTAAAGAGAATTATTCGTTCCTAACTACTAAGCCTTTAACCATTTCAGTAGGTGATTCTTAGAAAGTACTGAGGCATGCTAACCACACCAGAAATCGGGCAGTTATTTGACCTCGGAACCCCCCCTCCCCTGCCCCCTGCCTCATTCCAGTGTCCTGAGCTTTGCTGATGCATGGGGCTGTGTTCTCCACCCAGGGCCATTTCTAGCCTACCTGTCTGAACTCCTTTGCCCACCACTGTGTGCTGAGGTGGCCTTCCAATTAGGTTTACTTTCTTATTAGACTCCTTGAGTAAGAGGATGACAACCCTGTTTGTCATCCTGAAGCAGAAGGTCCTGCACCTACCTGGTGACATAGATAGAATACCTGCATTCAAGAGTAGCATCAGGGGGTATAACTCAAACTCAAGGCCACTCAACTTATCAAAAGCTCAGAGTAAAAATAAAATACATTTATAGAAGTTGGCAGAATATATCAGCCATTAATTACTACAGATTCTTTTAAATCTTGGCTAGATTAAGCCAGATGAACAGAAAACTGAGTGCGCTGGACACTCATTACGGCTTTTACTGTAATGGCATTTAGGTACTTGCCTATATTTAGGGAGTAACAAGGGGCCCTCTCAGCTCAGGATGTTGTGGAGGACATTATCTATGAAGACTCCCTGAAGAAATGTCTGGTATGAGCAGCAATAATAGTGCCGAGATTCTCTGAATTATGAGACCTGATCGTGGCCCTGTGCCTAGTAGCTTCCAAGTCAATATTTATGTCCCAGTTCTAACCAGATTACAGGCTTTCAGAGCACGTAGCTTTGTCTCATTCTCCCTTTGCCCCAATTTCCTCATTGTAAACTGCCTTAAATGTTTTTGGGAATGAGGAGAGGTAGGGAGTGTGTGTGTGTGTGTGTATGTACATATTATGTTCATACATAAATAAATAATTTGCAGCTATTCTTCAGTTTCTGCCTTATGAAACTTCATTCTTCCAATCTGATCATTTTTCTCTTCTCCAGTTCTTCCTATAGTACTTACTATCTGTCATTTATTGACCTAATTGTGTTGTTTTATATAATTCTCTTAAGTATTTCATAATAGCAACACATGTATATGCTTTTGGAGGTCAGGAACTATTAATGCTTAATAATTTATGTTAATTTAGTGGGCTTTCATGTGCATTTTCTCATTTATGTTCTTTTAATACATTGGAGTAATTATTTTGTTTCCACCACAGTCTAGCACAGGGTCAGTCATACTTGCTACTGTAGTAATCTCTGTTTTTCTCCTCTCAACCACTTTTGCCCTAACCAGACTCACTCTCTACCTTGCAAATGATCTTTTAAATATGTAAATCTCATCTGATCACTCACCTTTGCTTTTCTATCAGTCAGAATCTTTACCACAGATGTCAAGGCTCTGGGGATCCTACCCTTACTCCCTCTCCAACCTCATCTCAACCATATTTGTTCCTAATTCAGCTTTAGTCCAGAAGTTTCATACTTTCAATGACTCAAAAGTCGCATGGGAAATAACCTAACTTTATACCCCAAGGAACTAAAAAAAAGAGCAAATTAAGCCCAAAATTAGCAGAAGAAAGGAAATAACAAAGATAAAAGCAGAAATAATGAAATGGAGACCAGACAAACACTAAAGATCAGTGCAACTACTGAGCTGGTGATTTTTTTGGTCTGTTTGTTTCTACTTTGAGGTTAAGGCTCCCTACTATGTTCAGGGTTCTTTGGCCAAACTCTGGCCACATTAGTGAATCTAGCCTATTGTTTTCTTCCTCTAAGCATTGACTTCACCATGTCTTTGTAACAATTTGTGACTTCCCTTAGGAAGTGGCTGATGAAGAAATTGCTGCCCTTCCCCGGGATAGCTGTCCTGTTAGAATCAGAAATCGGTGTGTTATGACGTCCCGTCCACGTGGTGTGAAGCGGCGTTGGAGGCTTAGTCGGATCGTCTTCCGTCACTTAGCTGACCATGGGCAGATGTCTGGGGTCCAGCGAGCAATGTGGTAAACTGCCTTAACTCCAGAACCTACTGCGCTTGCAGGGAACCAGTTCTGACAAGACAACACTCTTCTAACAGACAAAAACCTAGTTTTAATAGGAGTCTAGTCTACCTGATGTCTAGTTAAATTACTTTTAAATTTTCAATGAAGAAACCTGGGTTTCATTCTGTCAGTGAATCATCTTTCCTGTTGGACTAAATGAAACATAAGTGTTCCCAAGCATGATGCAGAGTAATAAAAATATTTTCTGTGAAAATATGCTTTGTATGCTTGCCTTTTCCTTCAAATTTAATTTTCTAACAACAAAAAAGCGTTCCTGTATTTAAGGGCATTATCTCAGAAAGCAGGATTTATCTTATAGTTCATCCAAATCATTGACATGGAGCTAGCTCACCTATGGCAGGCAATCTGTAATGCTGGACTGGCTTCCCTAACCTGCACAATTCACTGTTCTGTTAGTTCACTGTTAGAAAAACAGTATGTGAGAAAGTAGAGCTGATGTCTGGATTAGCTAATGCTCAATTTTTGTATGATGGCTGAAGCACTAAGTGTTTTCTAGTTCCATCTTCAAGGGCCCTTAGAACAAAGCCCCTGAAAATCTATGCAAAGAGGAAAAGTTTTGTTGAAAGTATATATTCTCTATATTCATTTCACTTGTAGCAAAAATTAGTAAAAGTAGCAGTAACAGTGTGGATCAGCCCAGTGATAACAACATGCAGAGCAGTATGGCAGCACTGACTTAATGTCGGGACAGTATTCCTGGAGCCGACACCTGCACTTACATCAGGAGGCCAGGGATGTGATTCTTTGCAGACAGAACAGTGCAAGCACAGGGGTAGACACATCAAACTGTGAAACTAGTCACTTCAGTGTATCAAACATGTAGTGCAAAACAAGGACCATACCATGGAAAATGTCATATGTGGCAAAGAATTAAGACTGAATTTAAATACCAGTTATTGGGGTTTTAAGCAAAGGAATGACATCATCAGCTTGCTCTACTGCTGTGTGGTAGAGATAGTCATGAGAGGAAAAGGCTCCATACAAGATAACGGGTCAGGACAATGTCTTAATTGTTCAGGTAGACAAGTGCCTGAACTAAGTAGTGATATTAACAAAGGAGATGACAGGACAGATCTAAGTATTATTTAGGAAAGAAAATTGGGTAAGACTTAAAGACTGCTAATATTTAAGAAGTAAAAGGGCTCTCTGGGTTCCTGTTAAGGGTGACTAGATAGATGGTAGAAGGCAACTCCCAGATAGAAGATCTGGGGGGAAAGAATGGGTTTAAGGGAAACAAGATCTCTAAGTTCAGGTCTCAGCCATGCACTGTTTGAGAGGCCTGTTTCATCCCGAAGTCTACTGTGCAGGTGGATAGCAGAGTCAAGAACTTGGTGGAGATGAAGTTATGAGAGGGAATTGTCAGTATACCTTGGATTCATGTTTCCTAAATTTATCTTCCAGTTTACAAACTGGAATGCTCTAGCAAATCCCAACTAGAAACTAGCATTAATCAAATTATAACTAGAACATCACATTTGCTGATCTCTGGCATTCACTGGTAAGACACGCCCCGAATTTTCTTGTTTGGCTCAGGATCCAAGTGCAATCCAAATCTGGTTGCTCTGTCTCCTTTTTCTCCATGTCTTTCATTTGGAGGAGCCAGGTTATTTGTACTGTAGTGTCTAACACTGGACTGTTGGCTTCTTCATGTGTCCTTTAACTTATTCCTGTCTTTCCTATAAACTGGTTGTTACATCTAAAGGCTTACTAGACACAGGTCCAATTTTTTTTAAATGAATTTTCACAAGTGTGTTGTGTACTCTATTACATCACATCAGAAGGCACACACCTGGTTGTCCAATTTTTAGTGATAATTCATCAGGGGGCTCAGCCTGACCCCTACATTTAAAATTCATCATTTATTAACCTATCATCTATCACTAAGGATTGCAATGGTGATATTCTAAATACCATCACTTTTTCTGCATTAGCTGCAATTTGTCTGTAGGAACTTTCCCTTATTATCAATTTATCATTCTGAAATATTTTACTTACAATAAAGACCAGATAAATGCATGATTTTCTATCAATTTTCAGAGTAAATGAATTGATGCTCTAGCAACTTCCAAAGGTAACAATCTTTCACTATCCCAAACTTGCAGAGTTTGTTTCAATCCACTCGACATTATTTTGAGACTCAAATTAATCCTTCCACTGCCCCTTATACTCCCACGATTGGGTCCTTTATCCTGTTGACTTGATATAGGATATATGATCTTCCCTCACTTTCTAGCAGAAGATAACCCAGGCTTACCTTTATATTTCCTGCCTCAGACAATTTTTTAAAAAATGTTATTAATTTCAGAGAGAGGAAGGGAGAAACATCTATGATGAGAGAGAATCGATTGGCGGCCTCCTGCATGCCCCACACTCGGGATCGAGCCCACAACATAGGCATGTGCCCTGACCAGGAATCAAACCGTGACCTCCTGGTTCATGGGTTGAAGCTCAACCACTGAGCCACACCAGCCGGGCAGTTTTTTGCGTCCCGGGTCCTATTAGTAGGAAACGGTGTGTACTTGGGGTGCTACTCATTACTAATGAATTCTGAATTGTCATTGCTGTAAGATTTTAGGCTCTTTTGGTGAGACTTGTAAAGAAATGGATATTTTTTCAAGATAAAAATCGTTTATATTGATTTTATACTTATAAAAACCTTAGCTCCTCATGATATCAGTCTAGTTTCACTATCTCACTAGTGATGGACAGTCAAAATACCATGTTCTAAAGTCATTTGAAAGTAACATGCATTTATAACCTGACATGCATTAGGTGTTTTTTCCCAAATTTTAGGGTTATTTTTTATTTAGCTTTTAAATTAAATTTTAGATGGTTCTAAAACCAAAACTAAAGAAAATGGTACATTCACATAAATACTGCTTCCATCTTGTCTCTCCTTTCTCATTACTTACCGTTTTTATTACTTTGGGCTTACTCTTCCAGTTTCTTTTTGAAATACAAGCAAATACAAGTATGTGTGTGCATTCACATTTCCACCCATTCTAACACTAAGGCAGATTAAGTACTAGTACACCACAAACGGCATTCTGCACTTTGCCTTTCCACTTACTGTATACTGGTAATTATTCAATACACCAGTGTACAGAAATAATCTTCATTTCTTTTTGTGATCTAAGTACTCCCCGTGTGAATGTACCATAGTTTATTCAGCTAGTCATCTATTAATTGACATTTGGGTGTTTCCAATCTTTTGCACATATTCCAAATTCTGGCCAGTTGCCTTTGGGGAAAGAGCCTAGAATTGTGAGCCAGATGATAAATGCACATGTAATTCTGGTAGAGATTACCAACTGTCCTTCTACACAAGTTTTAACCTTCTCATCATTTTGATTCCATTCCCTTATATGAATTTTCCCATACCCTTAACAATCAGTATGCTCAACTTTGGGTTTTCCCAATAAAAGGTAAAAAAGTGTTTTTAAATTTCTGAACAAGGTGGGCATCTTTTTATGTTGAAGTTCACTTGCATTTCTTTTTCTGTGAACAACCATTTCTTAATCTTGGAATCTTCTTGAAACATCATGTATTTTTTATTGTGGGATTTTTTTGGCTATGTAAACATTTACTATGTAGTTAAAATTAACCAATATTTTGCCTTATTACCGCTAGATTTTAAGTCACGTAGTATAGGTTTCCCTCACTCTTAGGTAATAAAGGAGTTCTATCCTTCTCTTCTAGTACTCATATGGCTTCACATATATATTAACTTTCATCTGTTTGCAATGTATGCATATGGTTATTTTTGGTTATCTCAATAAAAGCCCATCTCTGCCCCTTGTTGAAATGCTATTAGAGGCATACCTTGTAGATATTGCAGGTGAAGTTCCAGACCACTGAAATAAATTGAGTATCGCAATAAAGCGAGTTGTAATCTTTTTGCTGGTGGAGGGTCTTGCCTTCGATTTGTAAATAATGCAACACCTGTGAAGCGCAATAAAGTGAAGCTCAATACAACTTCTGCCTTGGGTCTTTTTCTACTCTGTTCCATTGGTCTGTTTATTCATGTGTCAACATCACAGCTTTAATTATAGTTTTACTAACATGTTCAGTAGTATTAACAACTAGCCTATATATAGGCTGTTTATTCATTTTAAATGCTACCTAATAAATTTTATTCTACCACTTATACCAAATTCTCTCATTATAGTAGTCTTGACTAATCTCCTCTTGGATCTCCTCTATGTGTTTGTTTTCTCTTATTCCTCAGTTGCATTGGCAAATACCTCCAATATAACATAGTTATGGAGATCATAGGTTTTTTGCTCTTCTTCTTGTTTTTAGGAGCAGCAATTCCCTCTAAAATAAACCATTTCTCCCCCAAAGCCTAACTTTTCCTGGATAAACAGATAGTAAAGATATTCCACTGAATAAAAACCTAACTTCACTGAAAATAGAAAAGATGGATTTTTACATTTGTTTTTAGCTTATGGTTATTGCTTTTTGTAAGCTATCTGATCCATGGCAAAACTTACTAAGTGATACTATACAAAGATATTTGTTTATTCTTGTCAAAATCAGATTTAGTTTCAATTTATTCATAAAAAACTGTATCTAAACCCAGAGAAAAACATTTGTGATTGGATCATTAGGACATTGTTATGCATGGTATATGTATTACTTAAGCTGCTAACAGAAAAGAAATTAATGTCTCTATAGCAACCTTGAAGCACAAATACAAATTTGCATTTTCTGAAAAAATTCAAGTTTTATTTACTTGTTCTTACATTGGTGAGAACTGATGTCAAGAACTTAACAAGCGGTAACATTTTTTTCCCTACCTCCTAGCTGAACAAAAATACACACAATATGGCATTTTCATTAGGCAAGACTTGCTTCTTTACATTTCACACGAGAATGCAAATATTAATCTTCCTTGAACAAAATGACCAGTTTACTAAGGAAACCATCTTTAGAGGAACTGTTTAATAAGCATATTTTATTTAAATAAATCCTCCAGCAGGAGAATTCATTGCCTTTACTTTGAAGAAGGCTCTGTAAAATTATCTGTTAAATGTATCTGCAGCTCACCAACATGTCCTTATTGGAAACATCATTATTTCCACATCACAATTCCCGAAAGAACTTTAAAGTCTCAGAATTCTGTCTCTCCTTTGGCTTGCTTCTCTCTTGATTGTACCCAGGCTTTATTAATGGTTCGCTTCATATCATCATCT